ACCCAGATTTCTACAAAAAGCGACCAAACTTGGTCGCTATTTCATTAAAAAAATAAAATTTCTGGTGATATAGCGACCAAAGTTGGTTGTAAATATTTAAAAAATAAATTAAATCCATGTATTTAGGGACCAAAGTTGGTCGCTAATTTAATAAAATAAATAAATAATTGAATACAAAAGCGACCAAAATTGGTCTCTAGTTTCCAGATTTTAAAATATAATATTTGGTTTAGAGACCAAAATTGGTAGCTTTTTGGTGATTAATAATAAATAAATAAATAATGTATTTTTTATTTAGAGACCAAATTTGGTCTCCAAATTTATAATATTAAATTAATAAAGCGACCAAAGTTGGTCTCTATAGTCAATATCCAGAAAAATGGGTCCATTTAGCTTAGAGACCAAAGTTGGTCGCTAATTAGCGACCAACTTTGGTCCCTAAATAAAAGGGACCATCAATATAGCTACCAGACACTTTTGATCGCATTTTGATCGCTATTTAGCCAAAAAACGACCAAAGTTGGTCGCTTTTTGCGGTCTCTTTTTCCCAGAATTCTAGTAGTGACTTTTGTTTTTGTAAGTAATGCATAAGGACATTAAATAGTTCGTAAATAGGGGTAGTCATTGCCTCTTGTTGTGCGAGGTAGCAACATAGGTCCCCCGCATATTTTTGTACTCTTTGTTGGTTGAATGATAGGTCATGCCACCATACGGCGTAATTGATTTTAAAAAACTAGAGGCAATTCTGAGAGGGGAAATGAGGTGAAAATTGTGGGATTAAATTAGTGATAGTAAAACTTTGTGGGCTATTGCAAAATAAGTTAGATTTGATCCTTGTCAAGATTATAGATGTGGACTAAGCTCTGTATCTCCTCCAACGGAGGATTCAGCAGCTTCTAGAAGATGGAGTTCGAAGAGAGAGAAATGAGAGATGTAGAGAGTCTCTGACTTCGTGAAATGAAACTCTAATGTTTTTATTGAGTACTGTTCAGTTATATATAGGTGTACAACTAGGATACAACTTGCAAGAAAATAAGAGAATAAACCTCCACTAACTAATCTGCTAACTCTACCACTATGGGGTGCAAAGCTCTACCACACATGGAAGGCTCGGAATTGGAAACTTTTTAGAGGGACTAATGTAAATACTGAGGTTGTGTTTATACAGATAAAGAAAGAGATTGTAGAGAGGGTAGACCACTTGAAATACTCTAGGAAAGCAAGTAGATGTAGTTATTTGAGGCAGCAGTTATGTAATTAGTTGAGTGATGTTTGTTTTTCTTTGTTCGAGGCTTTGGAGATCTCTCTGAAGTGCTCATTAGGTGTAAACATTTGGTTGTCAATGGTAATACTTCACTGCTTTACCAAAACAAAAACTAATCTGCTAACAGCTAACAGACTATACTAACTAGTAGTGTGCTAACTCAACGCAATTACAATATACATATAGTCTTAATATAGACAAGCAAAATTTAAAAAAAAAAAAAAGAGCAAGAGAATTTCTGGGGCAAACATGTCCATTTCGGCAAATTGCATGATATATAGAATGCTTTGAACTGTGAAATTGTTTTCTATCCTAAAGCAGTTTCAACAAAATAGGTTCACTTCCTATATATGAAGAAAACAAATGCAGCTTCAAAGGTATTCTAATTAACAAGTGAATTTAAATTAAAAGGTAATGATTCACTTCACATAAATCAAAAATCATGCAACCTTCATAAATTAATATATTCATGAAGTAGGTACAATTAGAGTGAAGAATCAAAAGGCATAGCGATTGCGTGGTGAGGATAGAGTTGTACCTATGGCAATCGCAGCAGCAGCAGTCCAAGAAATCCTACCAACAACCGGAAATAGGGATTTTGGGTTGAAGGAGGTGTTTCTGGAGAGGGATTGAGGAAGAAGGGTTTGGGATGCCCTTGTATAATCTCATCAGTTTTAAACCATTGCGACATGAGCCACCACCAAACACAGGTCTCGATTTTTTGAACTTATTTAGTTATGAATATTAACTCCTAAGTTGCGGCTAAATGCATCCATAAATCGCCATTTTTTGTTTTATATATATATATATATATATATACTATATTAAAAGCATGATGTCCCTTAGCAAAATGTCGTTCAGTCTTTTTTACCTTTTAAAAAACTATTTCACATTGGACAAAATTGTAATTCAATTGATTTCCTAATATTTAAGACTTTAAAATAAACTAAAACTATAATTGTTAAATATTTCCTTATTGAAACTATACAGGAAATCTTAGTATATAGGAATATAACATTTTACCTTAGAACCAAAAATAAAATAAAATATTTTACCTTATATAAATAGATGGCCCAGCTGAAATTATGGTAAATTAACATGGACTTATAAATTCATTCCTATAAAAATTAAGTTGGTTAAGACTTTATCACACCAAAAACTCTTACACCAATATATTAGGAAAAGTCAGTCAATTAAATTAAGTACCCCGTCTAAAAGAGAGACAAAGATCAAACAAGTACTGTGTCTCTTTTTCTGTATAAAAGAATTTACCCAGATTTGAAGGGTATTTGTATTTTATACTTATGCTGATTTCAGTTGCACTAAAGGCTCTTGTAGAATTTTTAGATTGTTGATGGTTTGTACGCTTCATGATTGTGCTGATGAAATAAATTTTTAAATTCACCAACTAATTACTTTTCCCCTTGTCTTCGTTTGGGTCTACCACATAAATTTGATGAGAAGGTTTTAGCTTGAGAAATCAATAACACATAAAAAATATATTGAGAGATTATCTGCTAAATAGCGTTGGTTTGATTGCACAGACAATAGTGTTTACGGCGATAACATATTGAACCCTCTTTTTTTCCGTTTGACAATTAAGTATCATTGGTACTTTTTCCCTGTAAACATTTATTTTCTTTCTCTAATTAATAATAGGAGCATGAAAAATGCTTCTACGGAATAAGGTCTCTGGATTATACATTGGATGCACCACATTATATATTGATTGGTGTGTAATATTCAAAACGTCGAGCTTTAAGGATGTAGATTATTGTGTCTTTAAATCGTACTTATGTAGTAATTAAACAAATTTTTGTAAATAACATAGAAAGTATTTATTGTTGAAGTCAACATATTCATTACGTTTATTTTTATTTTATCTTGTTGAAGGTTAAATTGTCATATGCTTAATATTACAAGTAAGCATGGCAATGAAAATAGTCGTGTAAAATTAATTATTGAGTTATAATAATCAGATAGATTGAAGCTTTATATTCTCATATAATACAATGTCTCTAATTTTGTTCAATTGACGAAAATTCACAAAAGAATCTAATTTATAGTTTCATTATGCCTCTCATCCTAGGATTTAGGCCACATTAGATTTAAGTTGGAAAATCTCCACATTTATTTGTCTATATAATACTAGATGAGTATTGCCCGTGCATAGCACGAGCCCAACATTTTGAATTCTAGTGTCATTTTGTTCATGTCTAATACTGCATTCACATAGCGACCCTACAAAACTATAAAGGTTTAGAATTGGCATAAGTTCACAACCACCAGAAACACAGCTCCAACCTTAGAAAATAGTGACAAACATAGAATATATATTGCCTCCCTAGACTTATCAAAACTGAGCAAGAATTTCCTTTTCTTCCACTTCCTTTAAATATACATACAAAATCAAAATCAAGCATACGACTTATTTGATCATCATTTTCTACCCACCATCCTATTTCACGTGATCAACCAAATGTATAAGTTGCTATCAGTGTTTGCACTATAAACAAACTAAGAGCCATATAGAGTATTGCAAATACTGTGTATTGCTGAAAACATCTGCTACTGTGTATTCTTCAAACAACTTCTTGTCCTGTTCCAATGGAGAATTAGAAGTCAAACATGTTGAGATAGAAAACATTAACTGATAAAAGTTCCATAGCAAGAATTGAAAGGTATCATGACATAAAGAGATGCGTGCAATCTCCGCAAACAAAATACTCCAGAGTATTATACCCAAGCCTTTATAGAAGAGGGCACGAAGTAAAGGCCAAGTTACTGTTACTACAATCTAAAGATGCATCGGAAATATAACCTTTTATCAAAGCAGTATAGGATCTTCCTATCCTTAAGATTTAACCACTTAACAATTAACAAAAAAATCGAAAAAATGCTAAGCCTTATGTTTTCTTCGGTAAGCTAATGCTGACAAATATATGAAATGCAAATGATGTCCAGAAAAGTTGGTCAATAAATTTTACTTGCCCCAATTAAAAGAAAAAAAATACATTAATATCATATCACTATTAAATGACACAAAAAGTCCATTAGTTATAAAGAAAAAGCGGTGAAATAAATTAAAAGCACAAAAGCAAGCACACCAATTGATGTAAGAAACTGAATGCAGAGAGAGCTAGGCCTTACCATCAATAATCATAATGATAAACATAAACATGGAGAAACACAACTTATACGCAAAAAGGAAGTGGAGAACAACATATTGAGGCCTTGACGGACAGAAAGAAAGTGATAGAGGAGGACATTTGAGTACTCTTCCATGACCTTGAAGATAATCCATTTTTTAGGTTCCCTGTAATAGTTTTAATTTGAAAAATTTGGAAGTAATCATCACGGAAGAATGTTTTTAAATACATACTCTATCTATGTTAAAACATAGTGTATGTATTAATGCAATAATATTTCTCATTGATAAAGACACAAACCTACAATCCATGTGCATTTGTGTACCGAACTAACTGGAGAACAAACCAATTATCAAGAAGTGACTGATTAAGTGTGCAAAATGGCAAGATCCATCCATCACTTGTATTTTTCGGACAAAATATCTAAATAAAATAAAAACTTGAAGAATATTCTAATAAAATTGCATAAAAGTGGAGAGCAATAAGAAAGTATGGGTGAAGATAATATATGTTGATCTAGTACCTAGCTACATGGACATATCAATAGATAATAAGATCTATTAGGCTTAAAGATGTAAGAATGAGAATTCCCAAGAAGACAAACAACTATAATACCAAATGGCTTATTACAGTATACAAGAATTTAATGGGAGTTTTGCATCCACTGATTCCAAATTTTGACTACACCTACAATTCCAAGTAAAAGAAGTAACGGAAAGCAGATGACAAAATTACATAAACGCAATGCTATAAATACTGCAAATAAACTAAAAGTCACAAATAACTATGAAATATTTTATTTGGAAGCACCATTGGGAATCTTGGCAGCGTCTTTAGTAGCAGATTGAGCTCATCCCAAGCTTCAATCCAAGTGAAACTTGGATTCAATGGATGCAAAACTTCCATTAATACATATAGTATTAGCAAATACCAAACAAACAGGGAATAAAAAATATATAAATTAAGCTACTTCCTTGACTCAGATCTCTTATACTTGCCTTGACATCTCTATCCATCTTGTCTGCTTCTAAAAGTTGTGGGATATCTGTGCTACTTTCTCGTCCTTTTTTCTGGACCATTACTGTCTTGCAACTCCATACAATCTCTTCTGCCCTTTAACAGACCTTCCCTATTCCATAAATTTTTAGCCAGATAAACGAATATAAATTGAAACAAACAAATGTTGCTCGAACACAACTTTTAAGAAGAGTTCGCAAATCATCTTAGGCCTTATTAAGCCTTCCTAACACATGATATAATGAATAAAATCTATTAATAGAAAATCACATACACAATTTTTTTTCAATAGCTATTCGACTTAATTGATCCAATTTTGTTAATCTCAACTCATACACCAATTTTAGTGCTTTATCAAAATTGGGTTATCATGAATTCTTACTTTATTTTCCTCGGCTATGTAGAGTGAGGTGTGTGTGAAGAGACAGTTATGAAGAACCTGAAAACATACTCGCGACTCATAATTCATGGAAGTATAATATACACAAAACAAAGTAAAGAAAAGGAAGAACAACATGCATTAGGAGTAAAATTTAATATCCTTTTAGTTTTTAAGTTAGCAGAATAAAAAATGTCAATACCTTAAGAAGAAGGAGAAGAAGAAGAAGAAGAAGAAGAAATATAGCCAAATCAGCGAGAAGAAGGCAACATCAATGAAATTGGACGGAGAATAACCCTTAAAATGGTGATTCCGCATCGTCTGGTTGGAAAACACAAAATCCAAAGAAATTTATCCATGAAATTGGAAACAGCTATACAGATATAAAAGAAGCAAAAAAAGAAAGAAGACAAAGTAAAAACAAAGAATATGTGAGCAAATATTGAGAGAACTATACCTGAAATCTAGCAGATAGATAAGAAGATGAAAAGAAAGTATTGTTGAAAGATTTTTATCAAGCGGGTTCAAAAAAAAACATTAGAGGTCATATGTCACTAGCTGGTTTCGAACTCAAGAACATGTGGAAAATTTGAACCCTTTTTATCGACAGCCTAGGCATTTTACTTGTTTCAAGTTGGTTCACAATTATATTTATACCTTTACTTGTCTGAAAATAACAAAAATATACCTATATATACAGTGTTATTTTTTAATGAAGCGGGTTCATATGAACCCACTTGACTCCACGTGGATCCGCCCCCGCCTCCGATCGACTGGAATAGAAGAGAAGGAAGTCGGAAGAGAAAATGTTTCTAGACCCATATCATGTAAAATGAATAGATGGAAGGCACTTTTTCCTTTAAGCCAAATGACAATTTTGCCCTTAGTCGACCATCTTTCCTTTTCTATAAAATAGAAAAGAAGAGCCACAGGTTTCGACTGTAAACTACTTTGCTTTTTGTCAACTTTTATTGCACTTTAGTGAGCATTTGGTTTTTGCGCTTTTTTTTTTTTCCCCACTACTTTTTGTCTGATGCGAATCATATTTTCACCAGCAATTGACTTCATCTATTGTTACACTGCTTGGTTAAGTTCTATTCTGATTTTTTTTCTTTATTTCCCAATTTGTTCTTTACATATATGAATTGTCTATGCTCAAACATTTTTTGGTGGAATTTTCAAATTTAAACAAGGAGAAATATATTAGCTTAATATTGATGATTTTGCTCATCTATTATGATTGTTCCCCTTCTTTGTCATTGCTTAATAATATTGTCAAATTAGGTTTGAAATTGATTCATGATGTCTTCTCTGTTTCATTTGAACAAATGTGAACTTTACTAGAACTAGGAAACCCCAGAGGGTTTTGGTTGAGCTGGAACTAAGAGTGTACTTATGAAAGAATCCAATCTGGTTTGATGTTTTAGTCTAGAGTAAGATGGTAATTAAGCAAAGTAGCAGACAAATACCAACTAATTTAGTGCAGAATTAAACTGTTCTACGAAGAATCTGACATATGAAAATTGATGTTGGAAGGTTAGGTCTCTTGATTTGCGCCACACTTCTTCTTCATAATACATGTATATATATGAAGTTATATGATATATTTTTTCTTTCACCTATATAATATTTTTATTGCTTAATTACTGAAATTCTGAAGTGGATTATGCACTTATGATGTTTAATGATATGCCTTCTTTATTTAGTGCTACTTATTTGGAGTTACATACTTATATTTTGTAGCCAAAATACTTTCTTGGGATAAAACTAAATAGAACTATTGGTTTGGGGAGTGGAGCCACGTACTTCAGTCTGTACGATGAGCCTCTCATTCACATATCCCCTTGTTGCTAAAAGGAAAGTAGCTAAGACCAGTTCATACCAGAGAATTTTTTTGTTATCTTTCACTATTATCTTAGTTCAACCTTTGATGGAAACCTCCTTCTGATATTTATATTAAATGTATTGGACAACTGCTGAGGAATACATTGTTTGATGTAGTTCTCATATGCCAGTGACAAGTAAGTATTTACCACAATTAAATTTTGTTTTTACAATTTGTATTCTTTCTTTCCACCATACAGTGACATTCTGTAACGACCCAATCGGTCGTTTTGGACACTTATGCTTCTTTCTACTATTTGAAGTCTTGAATAGCTTCATACGATGAATTATGACTTGTGTGAAATGTCAGTTTTGATTTTTCAATGATTTCGGAGTTAGTTTGGAGGAATGAAAGTAAAGGTTCAAAGTTTAAGTTTAAAGAGTTGACCGGAGTTTGACTTTTGTGCAAACGACACCGGAATGAAGTTTTGATGGTTTCAATAGCTCCATATGACGATTTTGGACTTAGGAGTATGTTCGGATATTTATTTCGAAGTCCGTAGGATAAATTGAAGCATTTTGACGAAAGTTGGAAAAATGGAATATGGAAGTTTGACCGAGAGTTGACTTTTTGATATCTAGGTCGAAATTCAATTTAGAAAATTGGAATAGCTTCGTTATGCCATTTATGACTTGAGTGCAAAATTTGAAGTCACTCCGGATTGATTTGATAGGCTTCGGCATCGAATGTAAAATTTGGAATTCGTTAGTCTCCGTGAAACTTGAATTGGGGTGTGATATGTGTTTTATTGTGGTTTGGTGTGATTTGAGACATCAACTAAGTTTGTATGATATTTTAGGATTTGTTGGTATATTTGATTGAGGTCCTGAGGGCCTCGGTGGATTTCGGATGGTTAACGGAATGTGATTTAGAACGTTTCAATGTGTTTCTTCAAGAATAAGTGGTATCACATTAAGAACATGAGCTCCAATTCAGTTTTGATTGAAGCATTAGATCCGTATTGAAATTTCGGAGCCTTAGCAAAAAGAATTATCGAATTCGGACATCGTATGAGAGAGTTATGCCCATTTTCGTATCAAGAAAAAATATTTTCCCATCGCCAGCGCCCAGGGTAGAGTTGGGCGCTATCCGTGGCGCCGGGATATTATTTTGCTACTGGAATCAGCGCCACAGGCAACGCCGAAAACTATATAAAATGGGGGTTTTGGCCATTTTTACACATTTGGAGCTATGGAGCTCGGTTTGGGCGATTTTCAAAGGCAAACTTCACCACAAAACTTGGGGTAAGTGTTCTTAATTCCCTTGTGATTATATTCCATGAATTAATCTTCATTTTTAAGGTTAGATTATTGATATTTCAAGAGAAATGGAGGAATTTTCTAAAATTCCATAAAAATGAATTTTCAAGATTTGAACATCGATCCGAAGTCGGATTTGAGTAAAATTAGTATGGTTGGATTCGTAATTAAATGGGTTGTTGGATTTGTAAGTTTCATCGGATTCCGAGACGTGGGCCCCACTATCAAATTTTTGAGCGGAGTTGGAAATTTTCATAAATTGTTAAATTGTAAGAATTGGAGTATGTTTTGATTAATTTGCACGTTGTTTAACTAGTTTTGAATCGTTTGGCTTGGAATTGAGGAGATTGGAAGGCGTTCAAAGGTTGATACGCATATAATGGAATTTCCGGTGTATTGTTATCTTACTCGGCATTGGATTCGGCTCGTTCAAGATAAGTAACTCTTTTAAACTTAGTGTTGAGGGTATGCAATCCCAAANCGCATATAATGGAATTTCCGGAGTATTGTTATCTTACTCGGTATTGGAGTCGGCTTGTTCAAGATAAGTAACTCTTTTAAACTTAGTATTGAGGGTATGAAACCTCGAATTATGTGTTATGTGATTGATGTTGAGGTGACGCACATGCTAGATGACGGGAGTGTGGGCGTGCACCGTGTGAATGGTGACTCTGTTGTTTCCAGGACACTGTGTAGTGGTCCTACTTTGTTGATATATATGTTTTCACCATGTGATAAGTAAATTGAGCTGTACATCATGCTAGATATCATGTCTAGGCTTTATGCCGATATTGTTGGGACCCATAGTGGTCGTTTCTTGCTGTTATCTCACTGAATTCATTGATATACTGTACTCAGTCACATTCATGCATTCATATCATATCTCAGTCTCAATTGTTATTTATTGATACATCATATCATTGTTGTCGGGCTAGTTTCATGACATTGTAAGCCCGTGAGTGAGACTAGAGAGATTGATGACTGAGTAAGGCCGAGGGCCGGTTTGTGAGATATTGATACTATAGCACGTGAGTTGTCCGTGCCGATACTGATATTGATACTATAGCACGTGAGTTGTCCGTGCCGATACTGATATTGATACTATAGCACGTGAGTTGTCCGTGCCGATACTGATATTGATACTATAACACGTGAGTTGTCCGTGCAGCATGTGAGTTGTCCGTGCAGATATTGATATTGATACATTAGCACGAGAGTTGTCCGTGCAACACGTGAGTTGTCCGTGCAGATTTTAGCGCTTGGGTTGTAGGAGCCCCTATGGAGTCTGCACAGCCAGTGAGTGCAGTCGACTATAAATAAATGGATCGGGTTGCACACCGCAACGAGTATAGTACAGTGCTGAGTGATTGAGAGTGCTGAGTATTGAGCATTGTAAAAGATAATGCGAGGCAGCGAGATTGAGTACTCTGAGAGTGTGAGTACATGAGTTCATTACTGAGAGGCATTGCATTTGGCATGTGTACTTGAGATATATGCATAGAGTTGCATTTCTTTTTGCTGCCTGATTTTGGTGACATTCGTGATTTTGCCCGTATCTTGACATGTAGGCATAGAGATGTACTTTCCTCATGCTATCTAAAAATCAAATGGTAACTTGTTGAAAGGTTTTATGGAAAAATTCACACTTTTCAGTTACTTATATTTTGGTAATTTCGGTGAAAAGAATTGAGTTTTACTGTTATACTTGAAAAGAATAGGTTTATTTTTCCTGAACTGTGAACGAGCTGAGCATTTTATTATTTAATTATTCTTTGTGCTGCTTATGAATATTGTTGTGAAGTATTACTGGATATTGATGTGGACTCTGACCTTGGTACAAGCTCGCCACTACTTTCAACCTTAGTTTAGGTTTGTTACTTTTTGAGTACATGTGGTCGGTTGTACTCATACTACACTTCCTGCACATTGCGTGCAAATTTCGGATGTCGACGTTGTTGTGTTCGATGGGAGCTGACTTGGAAATTGTACCGACATCCCTGTTGTAGCTTCCTCTTATTCATGGTAGCCTTAGATTCATTAAACTCTGTTTATGTAACTTTTCAAACAGAAGATGTATTTGTTTCATATCAATTTTGTAAATTCTACTCTTAGAAGCTTATGATTTGTACTACTAGTCCTTGGGAGGTGTATAAGAGATCATTTATTTTTCCTCAGTATGTTACATTTGTACTGGACTTGATGAGTTGACTTACCTAGCGGGATGTGTTAGGTGTCATCACGACTAGTTGGATTTAGGGTTGTGACAGATTGGTATCAGAGCTCTAGGTTCATAGGTTCTACAAGTCATAGGCAAGTGTCTAGTAGAGTTTTGTGGATCGATATAATGACGTCCATACCTATCTTCGAGAGGCTACAGTGCATTTAGGATATACTTCTCATCTTTCTTTCCTTATTGTGCGACATTTATTCAGCTTGAAGCGTAATCCTTTGAATTCCTTCCACTCATTCATATGTGCACATGAGCACTCGGTATCAGCTTTCGGTAGTTTGTGATTCCATGAATGATACACGAAAGGTGATTATAGTGTACTGATGATGGGCCAGTCTGGGAGACTTGAGGCCAGGTGTAGACCGCAGCTTAGGCTCAGTAGTTTCAGTTGTGAAAACTTGTGTATTGGACTTATGTGCCCGGTAGTGTTCTTATAAGTTGAAATTGTGGCTCGATGAGCGGTTAAATGACTATATGATGAGTGTCACACCTCCTTTTTCACTACACCCCGTGAATGGT